CGAAGAGTCCTTTTATTAAAGACTCTATATGCTTTGCTGTGAGAAGAGTATCCAAGGAAGATTCCCTCATCACTTCTAGGATCAAATTTATCAAGCTGGTCCTTCCCATTATTATGCACATAGCATTTACATCCAAAGACACGAAAGTATGTGATGTTGGGCTTTCGACCTTTAAGAAGTTCATAGGGAGTCTTATTTAACTTTGGTCTAATGAGACCTCTATTCAATATATAGCAAGCAGTGTCAACAGCTTCTCCCCAAAAACTCTTTGGGAGACCACTCTCAATGAGCATCGTCCTCGCCATCTCCTCAAGAGTTCTATTCTTCCTTTCTACAACACCATTCTGTTGAGGTGTTCTAGGGGCTGAGAAGTTGTGATTAACTCCATGTTCCCTACAATAATCAATAAAGTTAGCATTTTCAAATTCAGTACCATGGTCTGATCTTACCGAGACCAGCTTGTGGGTGAGCTGGTTCTCCACTTGTTTCACCAATGTTACCCATTCTTCAAACGTTTCATCCTTTGTGTGTAACATCATTACCCAAGTGTACCTGGAATAATCATCAACCATAACACAGACATATCTATGACCTCTTCGACTTTGTACTCTCATGGGACCACACAAATCAATGTGTACAAGTTCGAAGGGTCTGCTGGTACTCAAAACAGTTTTAGACTTAAAAGAATTTTTGACCTGTTTCCCCCTTACACAATCAGAACAAACTTTATCAGCTTCATACTTAATGTTAGGAAGGCCTACAACTAAGTCACGTGTTTTAAGTTTGTTTAGAAGTGTTAGGCTAGCATGTCCAAACCTCTTATGCCAAATCCATTGATTATTGTCAGAAACAGCTCTCAAACAGATGGACTTGTCTTGAGAGATTTTATCTAAGAAGGTAATGTAAACATCATGCTTCCTGGTTCCCTCACATACAAGTTCTCCTGTTTGTGAGTTAACTATGTGACATAGGTTGGCTTGAAACTCAACTATATTACCTTTGTCACATAATTGAGAAATACTCAAGAGATTATGTTGCAAGCCTTCAACATAATAAACATCATCTATTGCGTTAGAAAGTGTCTTACCAACCTTACCTAAACCAGTGATGGTTCCCTTGTTGTTATCCCCAAAGGTGACACTTCCTCCATCAAAGGCCACTAGTGAAAGGAATTGATCTTTATCCCCGGACATGTGTCTTGAGCAACCACTGTCCAAATACCAATAGGTGTCTCCCTTCACTCTAGCCTGCAAGAGCAAATCAAACATTAGTTTTAGGAACCCAAACATACTTGGGTCCCTTTTCAACAACATTAACATCTTGTTGATCCTTTCTTCTCCACACATATTTTACACCCTTGCTGTTCTTATTAGCACTAATTTTCTTAGCTGGACATTCATGTATCTTATGTCCATTTTTACTACAATGAAAACACACATGCATTTCTTTAGTCATGACATACTTGCCTCGTTGATATTCTTTGATCCAGGTGGTTTCTCTGGGAGACCAGTTAGTCCTGGTTCTCTGTCTAGTATAACCAAGACCAACTTTTCCTCTGTTTCCTCTTGATGAAATCAGGTAATTTAAGGATTCTTGAGCATTCAATAATTTGTCCACATGTCTATGACTATCATTAAGTTCTTTTTCTCTGGTTTCAAGTGTTTTAGTTAACAATTCGTTTTTCTCTTTAAGAAAATCAAAGTTACTTTTTAAAGCTTCGAATTGTAGATTAAGTTTTGAAACCATAGAGTCAATAGACATGTCAACAATCACTGGTTGCTTGTCCTTTTTCAGTTGATTGATTTCCGCATGCAAATCACAAATATTACTTTCATACTTATCAATCGTATTACTGACATCTACACTGGTACCTGTAGGGGAAACAGTGAACTGTGCAGCTTTAAGTGAAGCAATTTCCTTGTGAGAGTTTTCCAGGTTGTAAGCCAATGTTTCAAAGGCCTTCAACAAGGAAGTTCTAGTACACGAATTTGCTTTACTTATAGCTACTGAAAAATCAAGAGTATCACTAGTGGTTGATAAGTCTCTAGGGAACCAGGAGGTCAGATCCTCTTCTCCATCAATTGGTTCAAACGATCTTTCCTTTTGTAGTTCCACTTTACACTTGTCCAATTCAACCTCTAGTTCTGCTACTTGATTTTTTAGTTCATAACAGACTCCTTCTAGATGATCACAACTAGCAATAGCAATATTACATTCACCACGTTTTTCTTTTAATTCTCTTTTGCAAGTTATGTATGTTTCACTTAGTTTATAGCATTCATCTAGTAAGGAATCAATACAAGCAAGCATATTTTCTCTATCATATTCATGCATATCTTCTCTAATTTGCTCTAAGCTTACCTTGCGTTCATGTAGTACATCCTTCTTTGCCATAAAGCATTTGTTGAATGTACTGGTTCCCCCTCTGGTTCCTGGACCAGTGCTGTTTTCCTTGATGTTTGTAAAGGCAGTTAGGCAAACATCTGAGTTGGGTGATCCTTCTTCTTCATCTGACCCTGAGTCAGAGTCTCCCCACATGGAAGCTATCATGGCATTCTTGTATGCTTGTTTATCTCCGGATTTAGACTGTTTGTCATTCCACTTAGGACAATCTCGAATAAGATGTCCTTTTTCTCCACACTTGAAACATCCTGTAGAAGAAGAATTAGAGTTAGATTTTTTATAGTTTTTAAAATGCTTACCTTTGAAATTCTTTCTTTGATCTCGAAGAGATCTCTCAAATCTTTTTGCAATCATGCTAATTTCATCTTCATCATCTTCTACTGTTCCCTTAAGCGCCATGCCTCTTGCTGGTTCCTTCTCAGACTTAGAGTCAATCAGCATCTCATGAGTCATAAGGGAACCAATCAGCTGTTCCAGAGACAAGGTAGACAGATCCTTTGCTTCATATACTGCTGTTACCTTGGCTGTCCATGCATCTGTTAAACTACGCAATAATTTTCTCACAAGATCCTCGTCAGATAAATTTTTACCAAGAGATCTAAGATCATTTACAATAGTCATAAACCTACGAAAGCAGTCATTGATTTTTTCATTTTTATTCATGGCAAACAATTCATATTTAGACATGATTAAATCAATTTTAGACCGTTTTACCTCGCTGGTTCCCTCAAACGCAAGTTCAAGGGTGTCCCATATCTCCTTAGCACTACTACAGCCAGAGATACGATTTGTTTCGGTCTCACCTATTGCTTGTTGTAGTATTGACATTGCCTTAGCATTCTTTTCCAGCAACTTGTAATCAGCAATGACCAATTCGCTATCCTTCTTGGGAACCTGGTTCCCCTCAACATCTGTCTTGAGAATGATATTAGGACCATTTTTAACTACGAGCCAGCATTCATAATCAATACCCATGATAACATTCTGGATCCTGTTCTTCCACCAAGCATAATTATTTCCATTAAACTTGGGTGACTTGTTGTCATAACCGATTGCACTTAATTCTTGAGTACTCATTCTTAACTCCTCTAGATGTTACTCTTTCGAGAAGCTTAGGCTCTGATACCAATTGAAGGTTCAATGGGCACTCAAGAGGGGGGGGGGTGAATTGAGTGTTAAGTAATCGTTGGCTAATTTTGCTTCTTTTCGGATTATGTGTGAGGAACCAGTTGTGCTGGTTCCCGTACGCAGCGGAATATAAATAAGCAATAAAGAAGACAACAAATTTAACGAAATAAAACAAAGCAATAAAGAACACAACAAATTTAATGAGGTTCAGCCAACTCAGGCCTACGTCCTCCTATCCTAAGTTCTTTATTAATCTACTCCGAAAAACAAAGACAAAGAACACTCTGCTGTTCCCTACTCCGGGAACCAGCAAACCCCACACTCTACTCCGAGTGTGCTCTCGACTTACACTCGTAAGCCCAATGTGTTTGAACTCACAAACACTCACCCAGCCTTTAACCCCTTTGTTAAAGACTCAATACAAGAATCAAGAACTCCCCTTTGATCTCACTTCTACAAAGCTAATTAAGAGAAAATATTTAAGTACTAGAATGCTCTTGTATATGACTTGATGAATGGGATTAGTGCTTAAGTATATGCTCTCAAATAATTGCTCTTTTTGATTTCTGGAGAGGCACACGAAATATGTGAAATAAGATGAGTTTATATAAGCTTAGATTCCTAAAACCTAGTTTCCTTAAATCACACAATCTTAGAGAATAAGATATAATGTAATTTTAGGAAAGTTTTTATCTTATTTGATTTAATCACAAAGATAGAATCAATTAAGATAAATACTCCTAGATTTTAGGTAACCAAGAATATTTCATCTTATTTCCAGCTGCACAAAATATTTTCAAGATAATCTTTTCGAAAAAATCTTTTTGTAAAATCTTTTTCCAAAACGGCAGCTCGAATACAGTGAACCTGGTTCCCCGACCTGGTTCCCTGAATTGAAACATGTTATGAAACCTGTTCCAACTTTGTACCAGATTTCATATCATACTTCAATATATTTTTAAGCACTTATATAACCCAAACATGCAAGCATACTACGGAGCATATTACATGAAAACCTAGATAACATATTAAAGCATAAATCGTCTTTTCTTCATGTAATCTTCAAGACTTGAATCTTCCTTGAATACTTCTATTATGAGCAAACAATCTTTCTTCGAAATATCTTCGAAAGGCTTCTATGCTCCAAGTCTTGGAATCAACTCAACTACTGCACATGTAACATGGTTAATGCACAATAAAGAGTATGTGACTGCTTTACCACGTAGCAACCATGGAAACAGTACATACTGGTTCCCTACCAGTACATAACACTTTTATCATATAACTGTTCCCTGTATAAAGACAAGTTAGTTCAATAAGAAAACTCATGTAAGTAATAACTTGTCTGGGGAAACAGTGTTCTATGTTAGCTGGTTCCCCTAACTGTATCGAACACCTTCAAGGACCTGTTTCCCTTAGCTGTTTGTCATCATTCAAAACTATCAATCAAAACCTAAGGGACTCAACACATACCAAATAAGGTTGATAGAAAACCGACCACTTAAAAGAGGGCCATTGTGGTATTGGAAAGTCATAGGCTGAGTCGAGGACTCTACGAGCATCCTCGATGCAACACTAACATTGACAAGAAAAAGGAGAGTGAGAGGCAAGAGGAAGTGTTTCGAGGCAAATGTTATCGCCATTATACTCGATAATTGGAATGTTTACTGATGATTAGCAAGTTGTTTAGTTGAGGATGAGAAAATTAAGGGAAGTTTGTGGTATTTATATACCCACAAGAAGGGAGCATAAGGAAAGTGGTAGGAAATAGTGGGAAAACCCCATGCAATGAGCAATATGCTAACGTATGAATATTTTGACTAATAGAAAGTTAAAGTAAGATATTCAAAGAGTGTGTATATTGAGTAGGGAACATAATATTGTGCTAAAGGTAGCATAGCAAGTTGTTGGACCTAAAAATATTGAGGAAGAATCTAAGATGTAGGCTTGTTATGGATTATATGGAAGCCAGTCTTGCAGCAGCTAAGGGTCAACTTAATAGTTCAAGAATATTATAAGGAGTACGCATGCATGGTCATGATAATAGCTGGACCTTGAAAATGTGGACACTTCGTATTGGTCTCTATAGAATATAGTTAGCTCATTCGATTATTCAGCTAATAGTGTAGAATAGTGTATTAGAGTAGCAACAAAGTAGGGGGTGTATATATTAATGCATGTGTCTCGATTAGAGGTGAGAAATGGATCGTTTGGGTCATAGTTGGATGACGATCCATTGTTCTCAATTTCAAGTCTTTTTAGAGTTATTGTCAAATTACTAATAATGGGTATTAATCAATATTAGTTACAAAGTATATTAGTTTTTTATTAGGTTGGCTAAATTTAATTTGGTTAATCATGTGAATTCGGGTCTGACATTAAACTATCTTTTGTAACAAGTCTACTCCCTTTGTTTCTTTTTGAATCAGCTTCAAATGAGGGATTATTGGATAAATCCAATGAACTAAGCAGACTTGGCTTAGTTGATGACATTAATTAGAGGCAATTTAGTCAATCCAATCGGCTATATCTCTCACCCACTCGTGGGCTCTTCGAGAGCAATACAAATTTATAGATCCCAAACATGCCAGCGATACTTTGTACTTGTACTAATCTAGATCCTAGCCAAACAAAGTACACCCCTGATTGCACGGTCTAACTAACTCAAAGCATATCCCTAAAGATTGGGGAAAAAATAAATTAATAAAGTACTCGTATTATTATGAACATATTATTATTAATGTGAACTTATCTTCTTTGGCTGCTTCTTTGGATTCTAGAATTAGAAGAATCAATGTCAAACTTGCGTTGCTCATAATTATTGAAGTTGTACGTCCCTTTACTTTTTGTTAATTAAGAGGATCCATAATTAATGCGCACCAAATTCATTTTTGTACCAATTAATTTTGTGTATTGTTTGCTATTGCTACCCTACCCTATACTGAACTTTGATATTTTTGCAAATCGTACGATGGGTTTTCAACACTATTTATGTACACAATTAAATGTGGGGAAAGTTGGGAATGCTTGTAATTCTGCGTAGTAGTAGTTTATTGATAATGAGATAGGTAAGCAGCTGTGTTCACAATGATCACTCATTTGGTGATTTTAATGAAAAATGGACATGATTAATCTATGACGGTATCGTTTTCATGTTGAATTATTTTCGAAAGAATTTAATATTACGTACAATTTTATTTTGTTTAACAATAATCATACTTTTTTCATAATGAGTTTTTGATTATGATACATCCAATCCTAAACTAAATACGATTTCTTGGTATTAATTTAGGATGGAATATATGACCAAATTATGGTGTTATTAATGTTGATTTATACTAATATTTTATGCAGAGTGCACGCTACCTGTATAATTTTAATGAACTAGAGTGGAGTTACACTTATACATTGTTTGGATTGAGAGAATTGGAAGGTAATGAAGAGAGAAAAGAAGGAATTCATCCTCCCTTCTTTGGATCGTTTGATAGGAGGGAAGGAAATTAGAAGGATTCATTTTCTCTCTCTCTTTAATAAACTAAACCTTCAAATGTTGCAAAGATTTGCAAGGAAAATGTAATTGTTGGGGATTTTAGTGTTTAACATGGGTCACAAAGAAGATTGGAAATGAAAAATTAGAAAAACTTCGAGGCGTGAATAGAATCACTTTTCCAAAAGTATAATTCCGACCTTATACTACAGCCGGGTATCACGGAAGTCACTTAGGAGATACAACGAAGATCAATTACAACTACTTGTAGAATAGTTGCAACACAATATACTCAAGTGTTAATAATTCGTGATGAAGAACAATAATATGCAAAAGGTTTCAAGAGAAAAACTCAAACTGATATCTTGAATCCAAAAATCATCATATATGTAATAATATATATAAAGAACAAAATCACCAAGCAATATTTGAAGAAAACCGTTGATTCAAAGGCCAGCCTCACCCGCACCCTGCTGGGTAGGGCCTCGCTCGACCAGGCGAGCGAAACCAGCAACCCAGAATTAACTGGGTGCTCTCGCGTCACTACTACATTTTTGATCTAATACAACCCCTATTTCCGTTGTATTAGGTGTCAAAAACCGTTGTATTAGACCTAATACAACGGCTAGCAACCGTCACATTTGCTAGGGTTGGATTAGGTCTAATACAACAGCAAAATGGACCTAATCCAACTGATTGGAGCAATCCGTTGGATTAGGGTCCCCTTTTTTTTGGTTAAAATTGAACCTAATACAACGGATTGCTCCCCAATCCGTTGTATTAGGTCTTTCTTTTTCTTTTTATTATTATTATTATTATTATTATTATTATTATTTTTTTTTTTTTTTTTATTTTTTTTTTCCAGTTTTATTATTATTATTAATAATTATTATTTTTTTTTTGTCCAGTTTCAGAAGTCCAGGAACCGATCTAAGATCCAACATGCAATGTCTCATTAGTCTGAGATAATGTACCAAGGATTCAAAGTCTGAGATAGATAATGTAGATCTGAAAAATTGAAAAACGAAAATCGAACGAAAAATTGAAAAATCTGAAAACAAAGATCTGAGAGAACGAAAACTTGAAATATTGAAAACTTGAAAAATCTGAATTATAGAACACTCTTAGCCTTGAAAACTTGAAAAATCTGGAAAAATGAAAATTTGAAAAATCTGAAAAATTAAAAAAAGATAAGAAAAACGAAAAACAAGTAGATTTCAAAAACGAAAAAATCAGAAAAACGAAAAAAAAAAGTAGATCTGAAAAATGAAGAAAGATCATAAAAACGATAAAATAAGACCGAAACGAAAAAAAATCAGAAAAAGGAGATTAGAAAAACGAAAAACAAGTAGATATCAAAAACGAAAAAAATCAGAAAAACGAAAAAAATAGATCTGAAAAATGAAGAAAGATCAGAAAAACGAAAAACAAGTAGATCTCAAAAACGAAAAAAATCAGAAAAACGAAAAAAAAATAAAAGTAGATTTGAAAAATGAAGAAAGATCTAAAAAACGATAAAATAAGACCAAAAACGAAAAAAATATCAGAAAAAGGAAAAAAAAAAATAAAAAAGGAGATCGGAAAAACGAAAAAAAGGGAAAAAGAAAAGAAAAACAAGAAACAATCCATCAATAAAAACGAAAATACCTTATAAACAAGAAACCACAGCTTCAAGAAATGAGATGCCAGAGAGAGAACGAGAGAATGAGAGAGTAGTGGCGAGAGAGGAGAGTAGACTGAGAGAATAGAGGAGAGAGAGAAGGTTTGAGAGAAAGAGAAAAAAAAAAAAAGAATGAGTTTGAGAGAGAAAGGGGGTTCGAGAGATATCAGAGAAAAAAAAAACAAGTTTGAGAGAGAAAGGGAGGGCCGAAGAAAAAAAAGCCCAAACTAATATCTAGTTGCCAACTGTTTGAGGTCTAATACAACGGTTGCCTCAATCCGTTGTATTAGACTGCTCAATCCATTGTATTAGCTCATCTAATACAACGGATGAATTTATCTAATACAACGGTTAGTATAAACCGTTGTATTAGACCTATTTTCGTATAAACCGTTGCATTAGCCTAGTCTAATACAACGGTATGAAATTAGCCGTTGTATTAGCTAATTTTGTACCGTTGTATTAGATAAAAAATTGTAGTAGTGCGTGGTCGCGCCCTGCAGAGCAAGAGTGGCCCGAACGATAGGGGTGGCAATTCGGGTTAGCAAGTCGGGTTTGGGTCAGATTTTGGGTCAATTTCGGGTTGTGCTTAGAAACTATCAAAAATAGTGTAAAACTTAATATTATTACGAAATATGAACTTTGGGTCAAATCGGGCCGAATTCGGGTTGTTCGGGTCGGGTCGGGTTCAGGTTTCTCTCATGAACTTCGGGTCGGGTCAAGGATTGCTAGACCTATCGACCGAGCGGTGCAGCAACGTTCATCTTCTTCGTTCTCACTTGCTCGGATTGGGCGGTAGAGCAGCTTAATCCAAGCATGTTCTCGCGTCCGGCGGGCGGGCACAGTCCTAACCGGGCGGCATGCTTCTTCTCTAAATCGAGACTTTCTTTGCTTTAATACTTGTTTAATTAATTGCTCCTTATCCTAAGCAAATTAATTAAACACCATAAATTTTGTCACCAATACTTTAAATTATTCAACAGTAACCTTACCTTCTCTTTCCCCTTCCGTTCACCCCCTTCCTTCTTCTTCATTCCCTGCTCTTACTCTTCCATTTTGCTATACAAACAGACCGTTAATAATCTTTGTCTTGGTTGAATTACTCCCTAGATTGTTTGAACAATTATCTAGAAGTGTTGATATTAAAGGTGTCAAAACATGACCCAACCCGAAAAATACCTAATTTAGATTTCAACTCGCATGAATACAATAATTTAGCATGACTCAATTAAATTTGAAATAGATTGACCCGAACTTATCGAACCCGACCCAATTTAATATTGCCATTTTTCTGTATTAGAGATGTGTTGGATTATCTACATGACCAAATTAGTGCGTTACATAATTTTTATGGATATGGGTTGCTAAGATAGTCTTTGACACATGCTTACTCTTCCTTATCTACCTCTAGCCTTTTAAAGTGTGGTGAGATGAAGATAGTTGCTAGCACCGTTTGTTGCACATAAAATTGTTTAATCAAAACAATTAGTTACACATTACTCCATTTTTTGCATTGGAAATTTATAAGCCTAGTGCTAGCTTCTTAGGTAAGGCGAGATAAGGGAATCATAACTCAATAAAAAAATTTTGTACGAAACATAATATAATCATAAGAATTGAACCTTTATCTTTTTATGAACAAATAATTTTGAATTTGTACTCTAAACAATAACTTTTTTTAATGACAAAATTTTCAATTTCAATAAAAGATACTCCACAATTAAATGTGCATAGGTATTTAAAACTCGCAGTGTTATAAATTTATAATCCTCAACAAAACTATTACAAATTGAATAAAATTAATACACCATTACCGAACTACAAGTCTAGTATCTTTACACTGTGGAAAACTTAACTTTAACTTGTCACACCAAAGTAGAGCAAGATGA